AGTACATTAAAGGAGAATAAAGTATTGTGAAAATATAAGCGATATACATAAATGTTTTATAAATAATTAATATACTATAAAGATGGACACACATGTAGATTAAAATTCAAGATAACTACAAGTCCAGGAAGGAAAAAAAAATTAATGTATAGTAACCACTAAACAAGAATGAATGTAATATGTATTTAGTCAATTAATATAATAATGGAAACAGACTAATAAGTCAAGCAAAGTAAGGAAAATCATATCAAATACCTTTTAAAATTCAGATAAATAATAAGTTGACTATATAAATCCAAATCCAATTGAAAGCAGCAAACAAAAGTTCATCTAGAGACTCCTTCCAAGATAAGTGTAGAACAGAAGTTAGCTGATAATGAAGTAAACCATGAAACCCTAAAAGAAAGCTCAGTGTAGTCAACAGTGTAAGAAAACATACACTGCTTTTCTGTACAACTTTCACCATTTAACATTTAGAAATTACTTCAAAAACTATTTTTTTAAGAAAAACTCAGCTTACAGAAGAGAAATAAATAAATACTGATGAAGCTGAAGTCTAACCTGAGAAAAAGAATCTTTAATAAAAGTTTACCCCCAAGGAAATTTCCATGTCCAGATGGCTTTAGTAATCGACACTTCAAAACATTAAGGAAGAATTAATACTAATCTCACAGAAAATCTTTCAGACAAAAAAAAAAAAAAAAAAAAAAAAAAGAAAAAGAAGCACTTCAAAGCCATATTGCCCACTCCTGTCATTACTATGAAAGAAAATTCTAGATCAGTATTCTTATAAACATGAATGCAAAATCTAAACAGGCCAAAGAAAATGAATCAAGTACTCTGAGGAGATGACGACTCATTACAGCCATATAATGTATCCCCGCAGTGTAAGCAAGATGATCTTAATAGATTTACAAAAAAATAGAATTATATAATCTTATTTCCTAAAAATGCTCTCTGAAGAAAATTACCATAGTTTTGTAGAGATTTATAACAAGCATAGTCACAAATTGTCTGATCAACAAACTGAGAATTTGGATTTAAGACCCCTTGAAACTGATTAGGTTAATGGTTGCTTTAGCAAATAATGTTAGACAATATGTATCATACAACAACAATTAGGTAGTTTCTTGGTGCTGTGAGCTGATATGTACCAAATACAACTCTGTTAAGGACAGCTTGCTACTCTGAAATCTTGAGTACCTAGACCAGGTCCATTCTCAAAACACAGCCAAAAAAGCTGCTAGATGACTCTACAGACTAGACATTTAAGTCCCTCTCTGAACTGCTCAATATTTCCCTTTTGGTACCTCAAGAGTTATGGATGGGACAAATGTTGTTTTTCTAGATCCCAGGTCCACAATATGTGGGTTAGTCCTTTTTGTTTTACACCATAATTTCAGTGTTTTCACCAATGAAATGAAATTGAATTTATAAGTACATCTTAATAGCAAACATCATAGTTAAGAATTATTGAAATATTTCACATGCAATTTGTCCATTACTACCAGTTTATTCAACAATGATGAATAAACCTGGGCCATACCTCTGCACTGGCTAGCACCTCTGTACCAGAACAACAGATGTAAAGAAAAGTTCGGATAAAGTGGGCAAAGAAAAAGAACATGAAATTACAGACGTAATAATAAAGGCTAAAGGTAAGAAGCTCTTCAAGTTCAGAAAGATAGAGGCAGTGATTTCTTAAATACACTATCAAAGGATGAACATACAAAAATGAATGCATTGAACTTTATCAACATTTACAAGTTTTCTGTTTCAAAATGTACCATCAGAGAGTAAAGAAAAAAATGGGAGAATACAAACAACACTGTTGTAATAGTGACAAACTGTATACTACTAGTACAATGTCAACTACTAAGACAGTTAAATTATATTGTTATAATGGAACATCTTGTCATGAGAGTGGACACAATGTTACTGTCTCCACAGGGTGGATAACTCTCATAAACTACAATTTGAGCCAAAGAACTCACAGACACAGTAGAGAATACAGTATGCTTCCATTTATAAAACATTACAAATCCACTGAGGGTGTGAATTGTTGGAGTACTACCTTAGCATGAGTGAGACCCTGCATTCCCTTCCTTCTCTACAAAAGTTTTAAGATTACACATAAGAAAAACTAACAAAATTAGGTGTGAGGGGACTTGCTAACTTTGGGAGGACAAGTATCAATGGGGACAATGATAATAATATTTACTATTTAAATTAGGGAGCTTGGTTCAGCTAATTTAGGCCTGATCAAAGTATATACTTAGCATTGATGTATTTTGTAATAAAATTTCTTAAAGAATAAGACATGAAAAACATATCTATACTACATATAAAATGCAATGCAAAAAAGGTATGCTACAGATCAATATGTGGGAAAAGGTACAATTCATATAACAACAAAAAAGAGTATTTCTGTAAATGTATTCATAAAAATTCTGAAAGATGGTCAATTATCACTTCCATTTATAGCTATGAGAAAGGGGTTAGTTAGAGAAATGAAAACAAAATGTACACCTCTTCTTTGAAAATGTATGATGTAATACAATATCTTCATTCAATCTTACTGACATACAATCAAAAACAAATATTTCTAAAAACCTGATTACCTTAAATCTGGTGAGAAACAGTTGCTTAAAGGGCAGTGGGAAGAAAGTCCTTTATATAATAAGTTGTGACTATTAAAAACTTAAGTTCACTGGTATATGTCAGACACAGTTGCTGGCAGCAAAGCTGGACGGGAGCCACTTAGCCTTTTATTACCAGCCAAGGAGTCACAGGGGGTAGATGTTTGTCCTGTTAAGTTTTAGTCTTGCTTTGGGCCAGGATTCTATCACTATGGCCCCAATGTACTCTTTTGGAATGGTAATACATATTCTTTGCCAATTTATGTTAGAAGCATAAAATTTGCCTTTTTAATTTATCGGTGGTTACGGTTAAGAGTTACTATAAGCCTTATGACTCTTTAGACTTTTAAACAGTATTGAGACTAAAATAAAAATATGCAGACTTCAAACTGGACTAAACACATGTTGACTATGAGATGGCCAGGGGCCTTTGGGAACCAGGGAGTGGGATGTGATGGTTTGAATAAGAAAAAATCCCCATAGGATCAAGTATCTGAACACTTTGCACCCAACTGATGGTGCTGCTTGAGGATGTCATAGAGCCTTCAAGGGGTGTGTCCTTGCTGGTGGAAGTACATCATTGGAGGCAGGCATTGTGTTTTGAGAATTTATACGATTCCCCACTTTCTATTTTTTCTGTTTCCCGACAAGATCTGTCAGTTCTCTGTTCTGTTGACATGCCTGCCATTTGCTGTCGTGCTTTTCCTCTTGCAATATTTACAGTTTCTTCCACAGGCTGTTTTTCATCATAGTGTTTAATGCAGCAACAGAAAACTAGCAAACACAGACATCAAGATGATACAGGATACTTATTGGGAATATATGTTATATGTTCATGTAGGATTGAGTCTTTTTTTACTATGTGATCAGTCTGAAGAAAATGGATTTTTTTAACCAAAAAAGTTTTATTCATTTTTTTTCAGATAATGTTAATGCATAAAAATGGATAGAACCTATACTGTATCATATATATGCTTCTATATGTTTAAAGGGACTATGACACCTCAGCAAAGTTTCCTTTAATAGTGTTTGTTAGAATAAATTTCACACATGCATACATTCGGGTAGTCAACAGAAATCACATGTTCAAATCAGATCTAAACTTCTCTTACATAGACACACAGGACAAATAAATTAATTCAGTTGTATTTTTTATGCAAAGGTTTAAAATAATTAACTTATCACTCTATTCATTCCCCTCCCGAGAAGCACAAACTAAATGAAGACACACAACACTAGTTATATATTATCACAAAGGAGGCAATGTTAAATTCTATGGCTCTGTCCTTCCAATGAGTCCTAATGCAATGAAAGATCTGGTAGTAAAAGAGATATAGTATCTTCCTGCATGGCATAGGATGAGTACAGCACTGTATCATCTTAGAAAATCCAAGCAAGATAAGAATCCCGGAGAGCACACTGCACAGCTTCACACACAATGTCATCAGTAGATATGGCTTCAGTGCAGACTCTGATCTAACAGCTGCCCAGCAGACTTTTTCTTATTAAAGGAACACCTGTCAATCATTCTCATTTTCACAGCTAAGGGGAATGGTTTCACAGTCACTAAACAAGGCCTTCCATTAAAGAGTATACCTCAACTCCAGCAAATAAAGCTCAGCAGTGTTTATCAAGAAATGTTATGTGCTGCACACTTCACCCTTTCCTGTGATATGAATTTACTCATGAAATCATCTCAGAGAGTGTGTGTGAGGTGAACACTCCGAAGCGTGGTACACAGTTTAGGCTTTGTCACCCTGTACATTCCATTCTCTGTAATGGGTTCATGGATTAAATGCATTGGCCTCAAACATGTCTTGAAAATAAATACATAATATAAATTCAAAACAACAAACCTACTGTGTTCACATATATCAAATAAAATTGTCAAGTGTGATTTTTTTCCTTTATGATCCTACAAAAAGTAATTACCTTTTAAAAATAACACAAAGAAAAGCATTCTGTTTTAGTATTATTCACAATGATAAAACACGGTGAATATTTGGTGCCAGTTATGTACCTTAAGAGGCTTCCAAAAAGACAAAACGAACAAACTGCCCCCCAACAATTTCAATATTTTCTATTTTACACTAACCTAACTCTAAATTATACAGAAACTTAGAAAATCACAGTATCGTTTTTTTTATCCTCAAGCATATACTTAAAATGAGATGCTCACTATTACTCTCTTTGGAGAGTAACATGTAAAGGATGATTTTGAAATGTTCTCCCCACCACACACATACATACTTTTACTTCACATGTTTATAACTAAATCATTGACCTTTCTTCAGTGCACATTAGTGGCCTGGGATTATCTATGCAGTAGTAGACAACAGCTTTGTAGATTTGGTTACATACCTAAAGCTGCTACTTTGATGATAATGGCTTCAATGTTAGATGCTATCATCTCTCGGAGTAAGTCTTCCTGGTTTCTCTGCCAAAGGTAAGTTAAAGGCTGGAGATTAAGCCGTTTACATCTACAATGTGAGAACAAAACAAAACAACAAAATAAATGATACAGTTTTGTTTTATATTATTGTCCCCAGCAATGTGATTTTTAAACACAAAGCTTCTTTAAAGGATTTTAACAATTACAATGCTCTTTCTTCATCTCCTTCTCTTTTTATTTTTTAAAACGCCTTGTGGGGCCAGAGTGATGGCTCAGGGGATAAAGGTACTTGCTGTCTGGGTTCAATTCTGGAAATGCAATGTGGAAAAAGAGAAACCCCTCCTACAAGTTGTCCTTTGAATTCTATACATGCATAATGGGATGAACACATCTACACATTCACAAATACAAACATAGAGGAAAAATACAAACAGGAAAAACATAAAAATACTTTGCACACTATATTTTTATGGACTATGCACAAACTTAAAAAAATTTATCTCCAGGAAGACTGGAAATGTCAACTGTAGTAAGTCTTTAAGCTTAGAAACAGTGTCAAAAAGCATACCATGAGAATTAATAATTATTCTCATTTCAATACTTCCATAGTCTGGAAGACAGGGAAAGGCATAGCTATATGGGCAGAGGTAGAGTGATCTCACACTTTACAAGTTTAAAAGAATCTCCATATACTACAAGTCAAGGGAGGAGATGAAAGATTCCTAACTGTTTTGAGACAGTGTAGCTAGGTTATAGGAAGACTGATTTGCCCATGGAGGTGTGTGACCTATTCCTTAGGCCATCAGCTAAAAGTATTATTTATATTCTTAATTTAGATGAAATGTAGGACTGACTTGACTTATCTGGGGGATATGGTCACTGGAAATCTGCCCCTGCTCCAGAGGATGAACAAGTAGTATGTGTATACAGACAGCACTACTCAGACTCAGTGTGCTACTGAACAGAAGAGGATGGGCAGGGGGACTTGTGGGGCTCTGAGGAGAGGAGTAGGAGGAAATACTGGGGCTAAGGTAATTTCGTTGTATATAAATCTGGATTTCTCAAAGAAATTAAAAAAATAGAAACAAATATGGCTTTTGTTATTTAGGTAAACATGTTTAGCTCTACAGAGAGAACATGTATAACAGACGTGCTCAATGATTTGGGTACAGGCGTTTATTTTTTTATTCATTAACAATACTTTTTACTTATCTCTACATTCTCTTTTTTTATACGTCTATTTATTTTACATCCTGGCTCCAGCCTTCCCCACATCCTCATCTCCTAGTCCTTCTTTCCCATCCAACCCTCAATCCCTTCCTCTTCTGACTCCACCCAGGAAAGGGTAGGTCTTCTATGAATGTCAATAGTACATGTCATATCAAGTTGTAGTAAGACTAAGCTCTTCCTCATGTATTAAAGGTGGGAAAGATGACCCAGTATGCGAAGTAGTGTCCCAAAAGCCAATAAAAGAGTTGGAGACAATCCCTGTTCCTGCTGTTAGGAGTTTCACAAGAGCAACAAGCTACACAACTTCAATTTCCTGCAGGCTCCCTGGTTGCCCCGTTCAGTCTCTGCAAGCCCCTATGAGCCCAGGCTAGTTAACTGTGTCAGCCTTCCAGGCATGTCCTTGAGCCTCCCTAACTCCTGCACTCCTTTCTCCTCTTCATCTGGAGGATTCTCCAGCTACAGTTAATGTTTGGCTGTGGGTCTCTGCATCTGCCTCCATGAGTTGCTGGATGATGCCTTGCTGACGACAACTGGGCTGGGCACCGTTCTGGCCACAGGAGAAGGCCAGTTCAGGCTACTTATCCATGATTGCTAGGAGTCTAAGCTGGGTCCTCCCTACTGGAAAAGGTTGGGATTATAATTCTGGCCTTTCACAGTCTGAGCACACATTCAGACACTAAGCATTTAAATAATTTATGCTTTCAAATATTAGACAGAATAATGTTCTCTTACACATTTTCTACTCGAACACGTTGATAATCAGAAAGTATAGCACCTACTGATACCCCTTCTATTTCTTCTTTTTCCTGAAAATAAAAGAAAAACAAATAAATTAAAAAAATAGGCATGTGGTTTGTATCATACCCTGAAAATTACACATGAACTGCATATTATCTAAGAAGCCACCTTCAAATCAAAGTAAATTCTTACAAATGCACATTTAGAAAAATTATTTGTACATACATTGTAATCACCCTCCCAGTGGCAAAAAAGTAATTATTCCTTACTTAAGTTTAACTACAAACCCACTTTTGTAGAGAAAGAAAAGATTTAGAAGCAGTTCCAAAATGTTTTACATTTATATACTTAATGACACTAAAATTCTACCAAGGACAATATTTTCCTAGATTGAGTAATTTCTAAAATTTGTACAATAGTTCCAACAGATATGTTACACAATGGCTTTTAATCTATATTTTATAAAAACACGAGCAGTTCAGAGGCATCTAGAATGTAGATAATTGTTGAGGCACTGCCTAGTATCACACAGTACATAAAGAATTCTAACATACATAGAAGGAATGGATTCTCATTGATACGGTCACAAGTGAGAGTATCAGCATGGTCCAATGGGTTAAGAACTTTGTCCAACATATGCAAGAATGAACTGAAAGAGAATGTAAAGTCATATACGATCATGTTTGCAGATGGCCCAAAGCTAGGGTGGATCAAAAGGGAACGCAGATCAATCAAATATAAAGATTGACACAGACACTTAGTTATTTAAAAGAATAGTTCTAAAATGAGACTTAATGTAAAGAAATACAATATACTTAATGATGGGAGGTTATACAACAAAGATATGAACTATGGAAATGTCGTCTATGATACAGATATGAAGGGAGGGAATAGAGGTAATTACTAATATGTTCTGAGTAGAAATTCTGTGAGTACTTGTAAGAGAAAATCCATCTTAGCAGAAAGACTGATAGAAGAAATGTCTTCACTGGTAATACAATTGTTTATCAATCACAGTAACTGAGCAGTAGAAGTAATAGTATTAAGAGAAAACAAATCATGCTTCCAGGCACAATGAAATAATCCCAACATGCTGAAATAAGAGTGTATCCTAAAAGGATACCATAGTAAATGAAGAATTATGCAGCAGGAATTTTTCCTGCCATTGAAGAAAATATACCCACTAAAATGATGGAAAAATATCTTCCCAAACTTCCCCCAAATAAAATGATTATTTCTGCCAGGTAACCTCTCAGGAAAGGAGGTATTGTTTTATTTCCCCTATCAATAACTTTGTGAGGCTTTTTAACCTTTCTTTAACTTCCCTAAACATTTGCTTCTCATAAAAGTCATTGTATTCTTTGGAAAATGTCAAGGCATTGTGTTCATCATTAATAGATCATATAGTAGTGAAGGTACCAAAAAAAAAAAATCAACATTTTAGTTTTCTTCCTGTTCTATATCTCTGAAGTTCTAACCTAGTAAATTATGAAGCACTGGATTATATGTATATGTATATAGAATATCTTATATACATCTTATATATGCATATTTATGTGCATGCATATCTATTTCTCTGCTAATTATGAAAACAAAGGCAAGGCATAGGCATAGGCAAGAACTTTCTTTAAACAACTTCAATAGCGGAAGAAAACCCCAAGAACTGGCAAATAACATTGCATAAAACTGAAAGGTTGTATGTGGAAATGGTGAGCACCAGCACTGAGAAGAAGCATATAGAATGGGAGAACAAACTTTGCCAGCTGTTTTCCAGACAAGGACCTGATATCTAGGATGTATTAAGAACTGCAAAAATCAAATTCAGTTTACGGCCATATCTGGAAGCCAACTGAAAGCTAATTTCTGGAGGATTCCTTTCACCAACTCATAAAATAAGGAACAAAGTGTACATATATTTAAAATGTACTTTCAGAGGGCTGGAGCAATGTCTCCTCAGTTTAGAGTTAGAACTTCAATAAGAATATTTTGTGGTGACACAATTAAACTTAAAATACTATCTAAAGAAGATGATACTATACTTGCACTAGGAATACAAGTTTAGTAATCAAGGAAATGTAGAGAACTGTGTGTGAATAGTCATCAACCACTAGAAAAAAAAGCTTTCAGAAACCAGTCAGAATGTTTGGTACTGGTATACACGGAGGCCACTGATTTTTCTATGTTCATTCGTGTTCTGCCACTTTGCTAAAAGTTGTTATCAAGTCTAAGATATTTTGGTGGAGTCTTTAGGGTCTCATGTGTAGGATCATGTTATCTTCAAATGAGGGATACTTTTACTTCTTCCTTTTTTTCATTTCCTCCACTTGTCCTATTTCTCTGGATAGGATTTCAAGTACCATATTGAACAGGAATGGGTAAGATGGACAATCTTGTCTTGTTCCCAATTTTAATGGGAATGCTTGAGTTATTCTACATTTAGGATATTGGTTATATGCTTGTCATATATAACAATTGTTTTTTTTTTACTCAAAATTCCAGTGCCAGGTATGAAATATCTCTTGATGAGCTGTTAGTCAAGGAAGTCCCAGAGGCTCTCAAAATAATATTGGTTCTTGTCATTCTTCTTGGCTGTCCACTGGAACAAGTCAATCAGACCCTATCGTTAAAGACACTAAACACCTTGGACAAGAAATACAGAACAAAACAAAACAAAACAAAACTGTAACCGAACTAAAGGCTTCCTCCCTGATGGCCAGGTTAAACAGTATTGCAAGATGCAATACAGGCTGCTGAGGAAGGCCTAATAACAAATCAGAAAGCATTACAGGGAATAGTGTATCATCCTGGTCTCACAAACTTTGCAGTTTTAAGTTTATATCAAGAAATATAGTCTTGGAAAGTAACTATAAAGTTATTATGAAGATATCCATCAAATTTATAATATACACATAATTTTCAATAAACTGGAAAATCCTGAAATCCCAAATAAGAAGAGTTGGATAAATGATAGCATATTATGAAGAAAAGATTACAACAGTCATGAAAAACACATTTTCAAGGATATTAAGATGTAACACTATTACCGATTAGCTAAAGGAAATATATATGGAGTCAAAAACATATAAGTTAAAAAAAAATCCATCACTATAGAAAAAGCAAAAAGATAAGGTAATAATGATTTCTCAATAATAGGACTCCATTTTGCTATTATTTCAAATTTTACACTTTCCCAAGCATCATATGTTTAATCATATGTATGTATGTATGTATGTATGTATGTATTATGTATGCATGCATGCATGTACGCACTTGGTGATTTGGATGTTATGGAAAGGGCGGAGCCTCACTCAAATATGAAACTCACCATTGTCACAGCTCTTTACCACACATTTTTTAGTACAAATATGGGCAGCCTCCAGAGCTTCAGAAATCAGTTGCTCACTTTCATCTGACACCATGTGGCCACAAACTGAGAATTCATCAATTTTTGCCTTCTTTTGTCCTAAGTCGGAGGCAGATTAATAGCAACAGGGACACCTTGACAGAAGTGAAACTTCGGGTATGACTTGTTCTTACAATATCATTAACACCAGGCAGGTGGCAATAGATGATTGGTATTCTATGCTATATTAAGAAAGGAGAAACATTTAAAAACATGAATATTCTTTGGGAATTAAAATCTTGTGCTGATGAATATAGGGCAATATAATAATAGACTGCTTACATGTCTATGGAGACTTAATGAACTACAAATAAGGGCTTTCTTGATGGAGAGTAACATCATGAACTACTTCTCTAATTTTGCCTTCTTTTTTATTTTTTGAGGTTTTTTTATTTAAATTAGAAACAATCTTATTTTATATATCAATCCCAGTTTCCTCTCTCTCCCATTCTCCCATGCCCCCCACCTATCCCCACGTCATCCCTCTTCTGCTCCACAGAGTTTGTCCTTGAGCTCCTCTGATCCTCCACCTCCAAGGTGTTGAGATTATAGGCATGTACCATCATATTTTAACTCAGGAACTATTTATTTTTAAAGATAAAAATCATATTCCAATAATAGGCATTCAGAACTGACTACTCCTTTCCTGTATCTTCTTTAACATAGCATCTATTTATAAAACTCGACAGGAAAAAAGTCTGTCTGTAAAAGTATAAATAACGTACATGCTAACAAATATGAACATGACTAATATTCAGTCTCCACTTGGTAGCTACTCCTAAACCTTTCATATTAAGCAAATAATGGACTCTGCAATGTCATTGCTGTTACTTCAAGCATGGTGAGAACCTAAACATGGATCTACTTATTAGTGTTTTTGACCTAGTACTCAAGAATTGTTAAGCATTCTTAAAAAGAGTGCACCAAGAACAACCACATTCAAAACTAGGAGTGGATTCCTCTATGATATGTAGCTAATGATGTGTGTCTTATTAATATGCAAAGCTATAGATAGAGATTACAGTGATGGAGACAGGTAATCATACATTAATAATGATAATCTGAAACAGAATGTAAGTGATTTTAAAGGTAAAAATCTAGAACTAAGTTAAAATTTTGTTCATTAATATTTACATGTCTTAATGTTGAATATTTGGTTTTTGAAGCCCACCAAATTGGAACCGAGCCGTCTTTTTTTTTTTAAATGGAAATGAGCCTAATTATTCTAAAGTTGATAAGATATGTATCTTGCATTTATCAGAGACACTGTTTTCTTTGAAAAAATGCCTCAGTTATCAGTATTATGTTGCTAATGAGTCTTGCCTGTGGAGAAAAAAATGATCTTCTGAATTTAAAGTGTTTTCCACCTGAAAGGCATCCTGATATTTTTAATATGATTCATTCATTAAAGACATATTCTTGCATTATCCTCTAAGTGGCAATATTTGGACTTCTGGCAACATACCATTATTGAGTGAGAAAGAAACCCTTATGAATGTCAATGATGTTCTACGGCTTAGAAAACTAAACTAGATACTAATGCTGGGTAGGTACCATATGCTTTTTCTCTAAACTGCTGTTTCTTCATTTAGTCTAGACAAATAATGATAACCATAAAAAACATAACATTTAATGAAGCAATTATGAATGTGACACAAAATTCCA